TGTTTAACTAGCTCATTTAGATTACCTTAAAAATGGAATCAGAAAGGCATTTACAATCTATATGGTATTACCTCTAGACCCTCATTTCCCCTTCTGCCTATTCTTAGCTAACAAGTACAAAAATCAGCTTGGCTAACTTGACTTGCAGAGCTCCTCTCCTTTCTGGTGCTGAACGCAGAATTGGTTATGAAAGTACACCTTGAGAAACCAGCCCTGCCCTATACTGTAGGTCAAGTGCACTTGATTTTGACAACTGCCTTGTCTCCAGTGCAGTAATAATCAAGGGGTTTCCCCCCCCCCCCCCAAAATAACCTCCTCATCATCATTTCATACAGCAATTAATTCCCCATTTTAAATGCAGCACCTAACTACCTGCCCTGACACACAAAGAACAGTACTTCCCCTGGGTTAAACAGGGCAGAGGCCTTGTCCTCTTCCACTGCTTTTCTGAGCACTTCTCTTTGCATTAGGTGCTATAAGCATCCACATGTTAAAACATGAAAATCTGTAACATATTTTCTACAATTTTGTCTTTGTGCAGATTTACAGCTATGTCCAAGCTGGCTCCCAAAATTTATATTCTTGTCTCATTAAATGCAAAAGAATGGAGCAGTAGCAGAAAATCAACTGATGATAGGTAGAGAGGATTTCATTACTCACACTCGGTGAACTCCGTCATGTGCCTCTCCAAGTAAGTCCGTGCTGACTGTGAACGAGCACCAATGGACATTGCTTTGCAGTCAAAGTAGTTTGCAGAGGGACAAGTCTGGAAGATGTGAGGACCCATGTCCTACAAAGAGAGAAACCCTCACACACAGAATCTAAACCAAAGGTATAAATTCATACCAAGCCTGTTGCTGAAACATGTTTTCTAAAAAGAGTTTTGCTTTGTGGTACACAGCAGAGGATATTTTATGTTGCTGATCATATCACTGTTCTTATATAATTCCTTCAAAACAACTGTTAAAGTAACCCAAATAATACTTACAAAACCCCAAAAAACTATTTCTTAACACTTTGTTCATTAAAATGCAGCTTTCATATGGACAGGATGGATAGCACCAAAGTGTTTCTCTGTTCCACAAACTGCACTGTGCTTATGTATGCTAATATATAGATATTTTACATGCATTCTGTCTTATCTACACAAATGTACAAACTTGCTGTGGACTAAACCATGCCATCCAGAATTTCAGGAAAGATCATAATTTCCTTCAACCATCCTCATGTCAAGAAGCTTGAGGGCACAGATTCTGTATGTGTTGCATTAAGCAAACTGCTGCTGCTAAACAAGAGAGACCCGAGTGATGATGTCTACATCCATTTTTTTGAATAGAAAGTATTTAAAATAAGTCTGCAAACATCCAAAACCAATAATAAAATATTTACCCAAACAAATCTCATTTTTGCAGTATCTCACTTTGCACCTTAAAATACTTAGTAAGTGTAGGTAGGATTAGCAAGCCATTAACACTTCTAAAAGTTCTGTTTTAGGGTAAGATACAGAAAATTATTTCCTTCCTCAGAATTTTGATGAGTCTGCCTCTTAACATCTAGTTGTTCTATGAAGCTGCATTAAAGTTGCACGTTTTCTTTTAGATTCCTAGGAACCAGAGCAGCTTACTTACATCATAACCTGCGATGAGCAGTCCTACGCCGTAGGGCCTCCTGCCGTAACGCTGGGTTGGTATCTGAGTTTCTTAAGTAAGCTAAGGAAAGAACCTCAAAATCATAGAATCATAGAACCATCAAGGCTGGAGAACCTTTAAGATCATTGAGTCCAACCATTAACCTGTCACTGCTGTAACCCCTAAACCAGATCCTCCAGCACCTGATCCAAATGCCTCTTGAACACTTCCAGGGATGGTGACTCCACCACCTCCTAGGGCAACCTATTCAGTGCCTCAACACCCTAACAGGCAAAAATTCTTCCTAAAATATAATCTAAATCTCCTGTCTCAGCTTGACTGTTCCCTCTAGTCCTCTTCCTGCAGGCATGGCAGGAGAAACCATCCCACATTACATGTTAATTCCCCAAATCATTTTCCTAAGCCAAGCAGAGATGCACCAAAATGCCTCATTATGGGATATGCTCCCAAAGATACACCAGCAATGTGAATAAAGAAGAATTTTCCAATAAAATTTTTCAACTTAATATGACTTTTAAGCTGTGATGTAAGAAAATGATTTTATGGACTAGTAAAAAGCTATAAAAGTATGACAAGTGTAAAAATAAAGGATACTGCTTCCAATTAGTGACACTAGGCGAGAGACTGGAAGAGGTCTGTCAAACACAAACCTAGAATCCAAACACTCCTGACGCATGAAATTGCTAGGAAGCAAAAAGCACAAATATTAAAACAAAATAAATCAACCCAATGCATAGATCAAAGACACACTGAGGTTTTGTCTCAATACTTGTCTGCTAAGGTAAGCAGTTTTGATTTGGCTCTGCTCATTGAGAAAAAGGGTCAAAGGCCTGCCCTACTTTCATTTCACCATGACCTCTAATTGTTATTTAGGAAGTTGACCACAGGTTTCAAAGAGTGTAACAATATTTCAGCTACACAAATGCAAAGAAGGCAGAAGTTCATGCAGGCAACAAAAGGCTCATCTGGAAAAAAGCCACAGCTAAATGGTAACACTGAAGCCATTAAAATTCATTCCAGAAATTCTTCCTATGCCTTCTCTGGCCTTTCAAACCCAGGAACAATAAAAAACCCAATAAAACTTATAAGCTTTCAACAGAAGACAAGAAAACCCTAATTGCACTTCAGTAGAAACCTGTCAGAATGAAAGAAAGGACACTCACTAAAGCAATTTTATTACTGACAAGATCAGAGCAGGATACTGAGAACTCCAGGGAAGGAGACACCATCCCCTGCCTGGGCAGCCCCATCCAATGCCTAACAAGCCTTACCATGGAGAAATTCCTCCTGATGTCCAACCTGAACCCCCTCTGGTGCAGCCTGCGGCTGTTTCCTCTTGTCCTCTCACTTGTTTCTTGGTACCAGAGCCCCACTCCCATCTGGCTCCAGCCTCCTGTCAGCACTCCACAGCCTTGGTGTGATCCATCCTCTTGTCACTTGTTTCTTGGTACCAGAGCCCCACTCCCATCTGGCTCCAGCCTCCTGTCAGCACTCCACAGCCTTGGTGTGATCCAAGGGCAGGACTCTCACACCACTGGCCACAGCCCCTCAGTCCAGCCTGTCTCAGTAGCTCCCAGAAACGTCCAGTATGGTTCCACTCACCCCCAGTATGCTCCCAGTTACTTCCAATCACTCCCAGCATGAACCCAGGATGATCCCAGTGTCTCTCTGGCTCCAGCCTCCTGTCAGCACTCCACAGCCTTGGTGTGATCCAAGGGCAGGACTCTCACACCACTGGCCACAGCCCCTCAGTCCAGCCTGTCTCAGTAGCTCCCAGAAACGTCCAGTATGGTTCCACTCACCCCCAGTATGCTCCCAGTTACTTCCAATCACTCCCAGCATGAACCCAGGATGATCCCAGTGTCTCCCACTATGATGCCATTTACCTCCAGCATAGAGGTAACCCCCAGTTGCTGCTAATCACTCCCAGTAGGTTTATGGGACTGTTTATCCCATCTGATCGTGACACATGGCCAGCAGGTGAGAGCAAGCGCCTCTGAAGCCCACACATACTGTGCTGTGTCGTAACACATGGCCAGCAGGTGAGAGCAAGCCCCTCTGAAGCCCACACATACTGTGCTGTGTGTTTTTAATAACTTTCTGAAATGTGTGTCCACAGAAACAGCTGCTAGAGGCAAAGAAGTGATGCACTTTCTCAGGCTGCCTGGAAACCTCTTCACTCTGAGGAAACTAGACTGCACTGCCTTACTAGTAACAAAACCAGAGCAAAATTTGGGCCAAACAAATGAGCTAGCTAAAAACCTGCCAGAATTTCATGCTGAGGTCTTTGGCATAGTACAACAAAGCAGCAACTCAAGACTAATCAAGACTGACCAGAAAATTTCATTTGCAATAGTCTGCAAATGCACTTTCACTCAGTATTGCAGAACTCTGTGTAAGTCAACAACCAGGATACTTACCACAAGAGTCTTGCATCCGCAGTGAGTCCAGCAATTGAGATACCAATATGGTTGTCAACATACAGGATTTTTTTCTGGTGAGCTGCCAGCTCAGACTGTGCTCTCTGTGCATAAAAGGAGAAAGCTCTATGACAAACTGAACAGTCTGCCAAGCACTGTGGAGAAATCTGCTAACATTTACAGCAAGAACTGAATACGATCGTGAAACAATAAAAAAAAAAAAATCAATTTATAAACTTGCGACAGAAGACAAGAAAAATCTAAATGCACTTCAGTAGGAGCCTGTCAGTATGAAATAAAGGACACTCACTCAAGCTCTGGGAAAAGAAAGAAATAGATTTACTACTTAATAACTAATGAAAAGGGAAAAAAGGACCATATCTTTTAACTTGACTCATTTTCTTCACCATTTTGTGAAAATCTGCTTTGCATAGGTACTGGAACCATTTGCAGTTCCATATGGGTTTCCAAAAGGAAACTGGGATTGCATTCACATTACACATATGAGTTCAGACTGCACAAAGCTCATTTGCCAAACTAAAACTTTTCTACTAACATTATTATCCCAAGAACACAGTTTTGAATTTACCTTGAGAGCAACCAGAACAGCATGTGTTTTCGACTTCAGCCCCACAGTAGCTGAGCCTTGTTTCACAGCTTCCATGGCATATTCTATTTGATGAATTCGGCCCTACAAAACCAAATCAAAGGTAATCACTCTCAAGTTCATCCTCTGAATCAATATGCAAAGGGTTTGGATTTTCAGATCTTTGATTCCCCACTCAACACTTACAGCAGAACACTTACTGCAGAACAGCTTAAACCTACAAACAGCAGATCTCAATTATCTTCTGTGATGCCTTACCATTAACCCAAAACACTCTGCCCATCTCTGAGCCACTCACTACTGCACAGAAAGGAACAGGGAAACTAAAATGAAAGGGTGAATAATCTTGACATGACATAAGAATCACAAGACTCTTGTCACTGCCTTCAGAGTGCTTGACCCAATGTGACTCAAAGACACAACTTCCAGCTGAAGTTGGAGACTTAAACTTTTAATCGAGTATCCTGAAGGAACGAGTCTTATGCAATTGTGTCTCACCACCCAACTTCCAGCTGAAGTTGGATACTTAGACTTTTAATCGAGTATCCTGAAGGAACACGTCTTATGCAATTGTGTCTCACCACCCATTCCCCAATAACTTCTGAACAAGTGACTGGTCAACCGCACTGAAGTCTGAAAGAGGAGTAGAGGTCTCAAAGCAAATCAAACCCCCATAAGCTCTGCAGAGGTGGCCAGAAGCTTTGCAGGAAAAGGTAGCAATGTCCACTGAATGGAACCGCTGAGAGCAGAGAAGCTGATGTTGTGCACTCAGTGGCACAGGCACTGCTGGCACCACAGCCCACAGCTCCATCCCACCAGCTGTGATGAAGTGGAATGTAGTAGCTGTTATGGTGAAATAAGTGGGGATAATCTACAGGAAATCACCTTCTCTTAGGTTGTTGGGTTTTTTTGGGTATGAGGTTTGTAATTCTCTAGATAAATCAAACCAAAAGGTCTACCAGATGCTTCAAATATCCTAATGTGCCATTTCAGCCCCTCAGTTATAAATGGAATTTCAGTAACACAGGATACTTCCTGCCCAAGAGCAGTACTGAATTGCTGTGACCTGTCCAACATGCATTTATCAACTGTCATGAAGGACTCACAAGACTCTCAAAATGTGATTAAAAGCTTCTAGCTCTTCACCTCCTATTTCCTGTTCTTTACACCAATATTTGAAAACATCCCCCTATAAAATATGATTATTCTTTGCCCCTGTATTGACAATGCCAAGAATTATTATGGGATCACATCACTGCCTCACCTACAGGAATGGATGGAGCACTAACTGCAGCACAGTAGCAGCTTTACATGTCCTTTTATGGAAAAAACAGTATTTTCCAGGCAATTTATGAAAAACACAGAAATTCGTGGTGTTAATGACTTCACAATATCTCCTAAAATTCTCAAGAGAATGTTGTAGTTTTAAAAGTAATTAAAAGCCTTTCATTTAATTTAAAAGTAAATTAAAACAGATAAGATTAAAAAATGAAAATTAAAGTTTCAGATACAGAACCTGCCAGAGGAACACAATAAGAAGGGTGAAAACAGCTCAAAGGCACCTACACCTGTCATGGTACTGACTAGAAACCAGGCAGCTCTTCAGAGTGGTCAATCCAATATTATAGGATTGAAAGTATCAAACCCTGTTATAACATATAGAAAAAGTACCTCACATACAATCCTACTGAATGATGAGGATCTCCAGTAGCACTATAAACTCAAAACCAATGATACATTAGCTAGTTTTGCCAAATCCAGAAATGAGTCATTTTCCAAGGCTCGGATTTTTCACAGGTATCCTATCTTGAAATACCAAACACCTGAGCTGACACTTGCTCTTAGAATTACAGAATGTTTATTTTGAAGTCAACACAACCTGTGTGGGTTTTACAGCACACAGTGTATGATTTTAGTAACAATACACAGTGTGAAACAGATTTGGAGTCCATTAAATTTCAAATTCCAAGTGCAAATCCCAATATCATGTTAAGTGCAGAGACAGCATGAAGCCTCCCCAACATGCTACACCACCAGGGACACAGAGCTGCACAGACTTCAGACCTGAAGCACAACCTGCATTACCAAATGATGTGGCATTTAACTACTGACATGTTCCAGCTCTGCACTGTAAGCTTTGTACGTGGAATTCAGTCAATGGGAATGTTTGTGTTGAGTGTTCAGTTTAGAAAATGAAGACCTGTGAATTCATCCTACAGAAATCAGCACTCCAGATTCCATGCTCCAGATTACCCTATGGGTACAGGCAGTCAAACATGGGATGACAAGGCACTAAAAACTACATGCACAAAGAGAGAAACAGGTGCTGTTACATCCCACTTGAAGAACTGCCATATTCTCACTCACACATACTCTTAATAATTTGGGTTTTTTTCCTGAGCAATTTGAATACAGTAAAGCACTTAATAAAAGAAATAAGTCAGAAAGTTTTCCCAATTATAAACTACACAGTTCCCTTCCAGTACTATCTAGTGGACAACAGAGAGAATGACCTAGCAGCAGCCTAGCACTGGGGAGATTTAAGCTTACTTTCATGTTTTTTGCACCTTACTCATCAACTTCTTATTACAGGTCTGTAAATGGATCAGGGAATGGATTTGGTTGAAAGATCATGTAGCCCAAACCCCAAAGACAGAATCACAGAATCACCAAAGCTGGAGAAGACCTCTAAGATCATCGAGTCCAACCATTAACCTGTCACTCCGCTGGAATCTCTAAACCATATTCTCCAGTGCCAGATCCAGAGGCCTCTTAAACACTCCCAGAGATGATGACTCCACCACTTCCCTGGGCAACCTATTCCAGTGCCTGAACACCCTAACAGGGAAAACATTTTCCTAACACCTAATTTGAATCTCCCCTGTCTCAGCTCATGGCCATTCCCTTTAGTCCTCTCCCTACAGCCGTGGCAGGAGAGACCATACCCCATATCTATGCAACCCCCTGTCAGGTAGTTGTAGAGAGCCATAAGGTCACCCCTGAGCCTCTTCTCAAGGCTAAATAAACCAAATTCCCTCAGGTCTTCATCACTGGATAGGTTTTCCAGAGCCTTTATGAGATGACAACATCTATTTTATACTGCTCAGGCACACTCAGAACGCAGCTGCCCTGAGCACTTTGAGCTGCCAGGGCTTACCTCAGCACCACTCAGATTCTTACGCCAGCAAGCAGAGATGTGCCAATGCCTGCCACACGCCTACAGCCTAAGAACAGTGGCAAGCAGCGTGCAACGAGTCCTGCGCCTCTGCCTACAACCCACGCGGCCGTGACACCGCTGCGAGACGGAGGCACCCCAAAAAGCAGGCCGAGAAGGCGCAGAGACGCTTTACCTGCGGGCTCCAAACCGTGACATCGTTGTCATACTGG